CCCCCCGGATCCGTCCTCTGAACAGTCTGAAGCTGACAGAGCGCAGCCTCCCTCAGTAACCGGCTCTCCAGCCGCCTCTGCTTTATCTCCGCGGATCGGTCCCCCACCCCCCTCCCGGTGCCAGCCCCACGAGCACTCGGTTCCCTCCTGGATCATTCGGACCTCTCAGAACCACCAGGGACAGGGAGAGAGACCCGCTGACGTTTCACTTTCTCCGAGTCTCCGTATGTGTCACATCTTCCTCCGGATCTTTGTGCTGCTGAGGCTGCGGCTGTGAGTACCTCCACTGATGGTTGCTGTCTTAGACTGTTATGTTTTATCTTTTGCATCTTACTGAACACACATAAGATTTTCATGGGCTTTTTTTTTTTGTAGGTCAGTTCGTGATTGGTTCACTTTTTTTGTTTCTTTCTTAGAATTAGGGCTCTATGCGTTCTTGTCCACAGTTTGAGTGTTTTGTTCTGTCAGAGGGCGTTACATTGTGGACACAAAGGCAGCTGCATGGAGCCAGGGTTCAGAGAGGATACATCACTTCTCAGTTAAAGTAACGCTTCTTAGGAAGTAAACGCAGAAGAAAACAACAATAGAAAGCACACATGTCCTTTTGCTTGACCATATTTATCATTATGAACCCTCCTACTGGCTCAGACCAAGCCCGGAGTTTAATTTCCCCCTCATGAACAAAAACTAAAAGCATTTTAGGTTGTATTTTCACCCCTTTGGTGTTTAAAGGCACTTTTCGTCTGCTTCCAGAAGCTGCAAAACATCCCTGCTCAGAATATATTTTCACAGTTGCATAACCTGAAGAAATAAAAGAGAGCACCAACTGCAAGTGGTGATGCATTATTTATACAGTTACCCCAGCGCCACACCTCCCACCCAGCACCACCGTCAACGCTCCATCTCCTCACTTCTCACCTTACACTCCTGCAGCCTGACTGAGCTCAGCATGAGAGGATTCTGAGAGAGCTGCTATTGTCCAGTGACTGGATGTGACCTCGCCCTCCCCTCACCTCAACACAAGCAAACACACACTTAAAAGAGAGAGAATTGAGGAAGGCAGGGAGTGGGAGAGTTGCCCTCTGGGGCTTTCCAGCAGAGAGATTTGTTTTATGGATTGATGGGTTCTTCAGGTTCGTACAGTTCAGGAAATGAGGGGTAACAGGAAAGTCAATGCATTTATTTATGACCTTCACAGAGGCGGAACTAAAAACGAAAAACCTCAGCTAGATCTGGAACAATCTCTTCCATCAAGTCTAAATGACTCTGAAACTCAACTTCATATAAAGATCTTAAATATACTCTTTGTAAAGTCACAAATACTTGAAAAAAAAAATCAAAGTAAGAACCAAAATACACCTTTTTTTTTAATCATATTGATGATGTTCTGATATGCTATTCTGGCAGATCCTGATGACCCGCTCCATGGTGAGGTCAGGTTGCTTCCATGTGGACGCAGACTCTGCTGGAGGACAAACAAACTAAAAAATACCTCATTCATCTCTGTAGCAATCAGGCTTCACAACAATCAGTGATGATTTCATGTATTATTTTAATGTCTCAGTGTCTTGTCTACGGATGCTTTGTGTGCCTACTCACTGTGAATCAAATTGCAGCCTGGGCTTCATAAAAATTCATGAACTTGAACTTGATATGTCTTTAAATTCTAAATTTATAAGCGAACTTTGTTCACCAATGGAAACAGCCTGACTCAATACAGATCAATAACGATGACGTCCATGGAAGAGCTATTGAAAAGCCTGACAATGTTGATGCACTGTTATGTATTAATGCTCAAATTTGTTGAGTAAAATATGCAGATAATGGTGCTTTGTTTACTCTAAGTGCTTGCATTTCTGAATTTTTCATAAAAAAACTTGAAAACTACAGGAGGAAACTCTTTCAAACTGTATCATTTGTTTATACATCTGGATACAGCACCATAGTTTATGATAGCCTTTTTAGTGCTTGATTTCACAGTATGCAATGGCCACCTTGAAGGCATCACTTTGAGCACACGGTGTTGCTTGTGTAGATTAGATTACAATGCCTTTCAGTGTTATGCAACAGCAACTCATCTGCAACAAGCCCTCTTGCAGTTTAACTTCATCTCTTACTCATTTATTCTTTTTTTGAACATTTTTCTCTCCCCAGCAGCAGCAGATGAGTTGAGGGCTGCAGCTAAAGGCAGTATGTTGTCAGAGTGGCAACAGCCATGATGTTGAAAACCTACGTTCACGAGAAGGCAACAGGAAGAAGATTACTGAGGGATTAAACACAATGCACACGTGGCCACATGCAAGCACAAGGGGACACCACAGCTCCAGGATTTAGCCTCCATCCAACTGTGACTGTTGATCTGAATGAAGTCGCCTGACTGACTGACCCTCTCCGGTATCATGGAAGAAGAGGAGGAGCCAACAGAGGCTCATTGAATTTACACATCAGGACCCATCCTTCTCCCTCCAGCCTCACAGTCAGAAGCTTTGACTGCTCCAAACAAAACACTTCAGAAATAGTTTGGAGTGCGGCGTCTCACTGGGGTGCCATGATACCTCAACACTTAGGGGCATAATTTGCCTTTTTTGTTTTGCAATAATGAATAACACTGCCATGGTTTACATTATTTATTGACATCTGGAATATCTGCACAGAAAAACACGAAGTATCAGAAGATGTTGGAGACAGCGTGCTATTTTTAAACCTTTTGCTGTGGATGTCTAACATGTTTAAACATGACACCACAGAATGACTGACAAATCCCATCTTTCAGTTCAGATGTTCCATTTTTGGCTCAAATAAATTCCAAGCACATCATTAAAAAAACAAAATAACATTTTAGATCTAGTGTCTTTGCCATGGTAATATAAGCAAAAGATGTTCTACTGGAGAAGAATTGCCCCAAGTGGGTTTACAACAGTTATGCACAAAAAAAAACAAAGCCGTAAGGGAAATAACATTGTTTAGAAAAAAAATATGCTTGCATATTCAGAACATGTCATATTAAGTGCTCCAAACCCATTTCAGTGTTTGAGGGCACCTATTTTTCCCAGCATTCAAAAAAAGTTGTAGTAATTTGAGCTTTATCAACAAGAAAGAGAAAATAATCATACAGCAGCTCCCCAAAGGAAACTCAGGCCACTGCACACCAGCAAAATGTAACATTATATACACAAAATATATTTAATATATATTAAATCCATCATCTGGAGTCACTCATCCGATAGTCAAACCTGCAGCCTGAGCTGCCATGGCCAGCCGAAACACCCCTCTCTTTTTCCATGGCTTTGAACTCGGCGGTCACTTTGTTGACCCTCGACCTCTCGGTACAGGAGTCACCGGCCTGGTTTTGTCAGCTGTTGACCAGCGCACTGGACAGCGAGTGGCCATTAAAAAGCTGGTGATGCGTGATCCGGTTACGATGAAGCACGCCCTGCGGGAAGTAAAAATCACCCAAAGACTGCACCATGAGAACGTAGTGTGGGTTCATGAGGTCTTAGCTCCGTACGGACAACCATTACCCAGAGACCCATCTCAGCTCACTGCCCTGTACATCATTCAGGAGCGCATGGAGACTGATCTGGCTCAGCTGCTGGACCAAGGACCTCTACCCACATGTAAGTGCACAAACTGGTCTTTAAATAAACTGCCCATTCTCAAAGAAAAGTTAGAAGTAAAACCTTTGATGTCTAATATCCATGGAAAAAGTAACACCTGTGACTAAAGAAACACTGATTGTGTACAACTTTATACAAAAAGACTCAAGTTTAGCTTGCACTTTTACCTCAGTGTTTATTTTCAAACCATATTTAATAGTGTAGTGGTGCTTAATTTATATATTATAACTTATTGTACATTAAACAACACAAAAAATAAAAAAATATTTTTTGTTTCCAAGGATTTTCTGCAACTTTTTCTACGGCCGGTGTGAGTAGAAAAAAATGTCCAGAAAATTGTCCCGTAGAGGATTTTCCATTCATATTTGATATATGCCAATATTAACTGACAGTGTGGATTTAATGCGATATCAGATATTAGTCACGACCCACTTTGTGTTTCCTATTTCAAGTCCATTCATGCATTTTAAATTAGCAGTCATAGCGCCCGTATGGGTAGCTCACCTGGAGTTGTGCATTTGTTCCCTGCTATAGTGACCTAATTAACCCACTAAGAACCCTCATGCCTGAGTATTATCGTAATTTAAGATGGGAAATGTTTACATTTCTGTAAACTTTTATTTGGCTGATTCAGTCTCAGTGTGTTTGATTGCAGGTTTAGTTTTATGTCAGTCTATAATTTTCTGTTTCTGCAAATCTGAATTAAATGTAAAAGACGTAAAAGAATATTTAACTTTTTTCAATAAGCTGCTTGGTTTTTCTGACAACACGGTCACAAAGGTCATCGTCAGACTTAGAACATGAGTGAGGTATAAATTATTGTGAAACTGATTTCCCATCCATAAACAGGTCATGCCACCCTGCTGTTCTACCAGCTGCTGAGGGGGCTAAAGTTCATCCACTCAGCCAACGTCCTGCACCGAGACCTGAAGCCTGCCAACATTTTCATCAACACAGACCAACTCCTGCTCAAGATCGGTGACTTTGGGCTGGCCAGAATAGTCGACCCCCATTATTCCCACAAGGTGAGTTGGAGACACACAAAGATCTTCATGCACTGTGATGAGATTTAATTGTTGGTCTAAATTTTGTCATGCACATCCAGCCCAAGTTTTTATTTTGACTGGAGATCAGAAAACTCTTTGAAAGTGTTATAAAATGTCAATTGAGTCAAATTAGCATTACAGTTTAAATCATTCTAGTCAAATCTACACTGAATTTATTGGGTTTTAAAACTGATTTATTTTTTTGTTTACATTTATATACAAAAGGGAAGGATTCTTTAGGAAGTCATGTCAACAAACATTACAATTTTTCACAGCTTTGATGCACTGTGTTCTCTTCTGCAGTCCATGGGTGAATATGAAGAGGTTTCTGTAATATCTCATGTCATCTTCTGTTTCAACAGAGTTATTGTCAGGAGTTTAATGGGAGCTTTTCACACTGTGGATCTGTGTGATTATTAGACAGTCTGATATGAGCTCCTAACCCAGTGGATACTGATGCAAAAGCAACATCTTATAAAAAGTAACTGGGTTGTACACATATGATCATCTTAAATTTGTTAAATCTCCATCGTTACTTGTCTGATTCTGCATATAAACTGTGCATACACTAGGAAACCAAACTGAATGTAAAAGTCTCTTTCTACAGCTAACAACTGCAGCTGAGACAAAGATTTATTAATATTATTATTATTTTTATTATTATTATTATTTGATTTCTGGTGACACATTATTATACATGTATCTATTTATTTCACAAAGATTTCCTCTTCAGCACAAACTCTGCCAATATCTTCCTACGCAGTGCCAGATTTTGCACTACTCAAACTCTATGATCAGGCTGTTCACAGAGGCCTCTGAAAGATTAACGTGACTGTTTACTACGACACTCTTCTGCTTTATTATGTCCAAAGGTCCCACAGCAGTACTGTAACACTAGGAGAGCTGGATATGTGGGCATGTTTGTGTCTTTGTGAGATTTTGTTGGGGTTTGTGCATGTGAAGGAGAGCAATCTGAAAGGCAATCTTTGTCAGCTTGGAGCAAAGGCCGAGGAGTCAGCTGGGTGCAGACACAGGGGTGCGCTGGGAGGGTGAGAAAGATGAATGGGGGTGGAGGAGTTCAAGAGAAGTAAAATATAAAGACCAGATTAGCAGCAAGGGTGAGAGGTACGTAACCATGGAGGAGTGAGGAAAAAGGAGAGGTGAAAAGTGCAAAAGCACAAGAAGGCAAGACAAATGCAAAGTGAAATAAATTGAAAAAAGATCAAAGGCAGAGAAACAATAAGAGATTCAGGTTTGTGTGTGTAGGAGAAAAACAGGTTTACTTCTGTTTCTCGCAATGTCTTCATCCATTCATCACTGGATGTATGTATGTATGTATGTATGTATGTATGTATGTATGTATGTATG